GCCTTCCCGAGGGAGGTATGAACAATCAGAGTACATGCAACTCACTGGGCTGGACAAGGAATAGAGATCAGTTGCAGAGGATCCATGTAGTCGCAACAACGATGCAGAGCTGCGAGAATGTTAGCATCGCAATTACCAATGGCATTTGTGCTGAGCCACTTTATGATAAGGATGATTGTGATGTAAGTTTATTTGGATTAGACACTTTTGTACATTTTCATCTTTCTTAACTTATAATGTGTAATACTCGACCTATGTCTTATAATATAATGTCACAAACAATTTATCTTCATACATGTACTCTATACACTAAGTAAATTAAGGTTTTTGTACCTGTACCTGGTATTAAAGTATTTTATGTAAAATTTTAGGAAGAAGAATATGCAGGAAGTTCAATGATGTGCTTTGATGAAAACTCAAAGAGATGGAGTTTAGCTGGAGTCAGTGGATGGAGAATAGCTTGCAGTAAGATAGGATTGGGTCGACCGAGGATCTATGATTCAGTCTCATCGCATGTGGATTGGATTCAGAAAACAATATCCAATTCAGCAAGATGACCTTTTTACAACATCTAGAGTTACAAAGACTGTATTCTGTGTCTTCTAATATTTAGAGTATGTTACATTATTTGTTAATATAGTTGTTAAAGTTTTAAATTCTCGATTTTCATATTCTTCTCATTTCCGAAAATGAAATATGTAAGTAAATTTACTATTATGTAAAAATTGATAAGACAAAATACTCAGTGGTCTACTAATCAGCCATTTTTATAAACCACTTTTTTATTCTTGGCCTAAAATGACTGTATTTATATTGTAATTAGAATAAAAAAATAATTTATTACTGAAAATATTGTACAATGTAATTAGTGTTCATTTATTGTAAATATGTTAAGTAATTAAAATATGTACCAAATTAAACTGTTTAAAATTTATCAGATTTATTTCAATTCCTGGCTACCTTTAATATTTGTAAACTATGTTCATTTTTAAAATTACTGTAATATAATGAAAGTCATAATTTTCCATAAAAAAATTCAGAAATAAATTGAAAATAGGTTAATAGTCATTTAAATAATCTCTAGGGATTTATAGTTTTAGCCATTGCTTCTATTAGTTATTGTAACTCAGCATTACATAGATCCGTGTAGGTAAAAAAAACAACAAAGTAAATATAAATAAACTATATTTAAACTTCAAACATCAATTTACTTAAGAATACCTTCATCTCTAAGTTCATTTTTGATTTTCCCTTGCAGATTTTCAGGGAGATGTTCAATCTCTTTATTTATGTATTTATTCAAATCTACTAAGGGTTTATAATGCTGGTGTACAATCTGCGAACCGGCAAGCATTGAAAACATTGCCGCAATCGAAAATGATACATATTGACCCCACGTAACTCCTGCTGGCATCTTAAAGTGTGGTGTACTTCTTTATTTTATCTTCAATTATATCTTTAGCTTGGCGACGTTTAAAAGTAGTATAAAAGTTAACTTCACCAACTTTCCAATTGATCATAGAAAATTCCAATGCTGCACCGAGGATAAAAAACATTGGTAGGAATCTATACATACCAAAAGTCTTTTTTCCAGGCCATTTGTTTACCAACTTGTGAATCCAACCTATTCTCATTTCTACTTTATGTAATAGGTTAATACTAAGACATGAACTGAAGACAATTTGAAATTATATCAACTGAATAAAATTCGTCTGTGTCACATTTTACTTTAAAAAAAGATAGAGAATTTACGTCGTAAAAGTAAATGAAAACGATTAATCAAAGAGAGAAATATAAATCTTCTTTTAGTTTTCTCACTGCCTAGGATTATTTTGACGGTAACTGAGTGGTGACAAGTGGATGACAGTGACACTGCTACAGGGAATACAACAGACTAAAAAAAATCTTGGATTACAAGGAGTAAAAGATTTCTATGATCTCAAATATTGGTGGAATTATAATAAGATTTTATTTCTACGTTTTACTTAAAAATTATGTTTCAATTTTCCTTGAACTTGGAATAAGAAAAACTTAAGTGTCATAACATTGTATTTGACACATTAGAATTCGATTTAATTTGACATTTGTAACCAAATTGATCATTTGATCATTGATAACCATATCAGATATTATCGTAATTAGCAACAGAAAAGCTTTTAAGCTTACTTTGACCAATACAGTCATACCTCCTAGATTTATGGCTCGTTTGAGCTTCGCAAATAAGATATAAGTTTAATGGATTGTAAACAAAAATGTATTTTTGGGCTCGAATATTTTGAATCAACACCACCCATAAAGATATCTGAGGGAAGGCAAATTGGATTGCACCAAACAGGTTGGGGTATATTGTCCGATTATTATTTAGAATCGGTTAAAATAAATAGCCAAAAGGGTGGAGGGTATCTATCATCTGCGACATTGAACGTCGGCGACAGATCAGGACAAACTACTTGTGTTGTTAAAGGCCCAATTGTTGGTTTGCTGTTCGATTTATCTTTAAGTGAATGGTCAAATATTGAAAAGCTATGTGGTGATCGTGATCAACTTTTTTATAGATATTTTCATAAAGGTTTATGCAAGTCTTATAGCTGTGAACAAAAGATGTTTTATCATTTTTGTCTCAGTAATCAAACGCAAAAATTACTCGTTGCTGTTTTTCGAAGATCTGTAAACTTAAGGAATAAAGACCAAAATGATGCTTTACTATACATAACGGATCTTAGGAGCTGTGATAATTATATTTTAGACTTATATTTGAATTACCTCAGAGAGAAAAGATTTTAGGTGGACTATAGTAGTAATTATATTTAATTACCATTTTTATGGCATACAATTGTTAATGTTATATGATAATTTGCCTAGTAAGGTAGTATATGCAGGAACCCTGATAATGGAATGGAAATCCTGAGGGACGCTGAAGCAGATGTGATAATTGCTAATCTAGTGTCATCACAATGTGATTATAAAATAATAAATATTAGACCTTATAAAATTAAACTTTATGTATTATATTACTTTGCTAATAAATGAAGTCCAAAGATGTAAACGATTTATAGGGAAGAAAGGAATTTTCCTGTGCAGTATGAGTATGTTACAATGTATAATACTGTAATAAAGACATAAATAACATCTGCATGATCTATCATTGGAGAATTTACATTTATATTGATACCTGACTTACCTTACCTTGTTCAATTAATATTATCATAATAAATCATGTAAATGTTGAAAATTGTACATTTTTATTAAATTAAATATTTGATAAACTATTTACTTTTGTTATATTTCATAACTATCAATGTAGGCATGGATTATAAGTATTTTTTCCATTACTTAAAATTATCCAAACACTAGTTAATAAATAGCTGTTACAAAAATTATAACTTTTACAGTTAAAGTGATTAGGATAGTGACCAAAACACAATCTATTAATATACATAACATGTTTGAATATCATATTTACAACATTTAATTAAAATGTATAACAAATATTATATTAAAAACATGATATAAGATTGTGGTGTGTGTGATTGTTATAAAGAAGGGGGGGGGAGGGAGAGAGAGAGAGTGAGTTAGTTGGAGTTGGTCAAGAGATTGACAAAATATATTTACATATTTTGTCTTGACTTGACCACCCCTGGCGCCAAAGCTGGATCCGCCCTTATTTGAAGGTCAACTATAGTGTCTCAATTGGCTCAAAGACTGGTTTATAAAAATTTCATTTTCAATTTTACTACTTTGCACTAATTAGTCAAGTCATAGTAATATGATTGTTTTATCTATGTGAATGCTTATCTGTTGTTTGCTATATCAAGTGGTCTCCTTGCCCTTAACCTAGTTTGTTAAAAAAACACTTTTATCGGTACAGGTAGAGTATTTGAGTAAACAAAAATTAGCAACATTACAATCAAACCTCAATTTAAAAAATTAGATAACTACAACCCAACTTATAGATGACAAACCTTTATTTTTGAATTAGATCACGGGACTTAACAGCAGGTCATTTAACCGCTGAGTCATAGCTAACAACATTAAAGATTGAACCTCGTTACGGTTACGCATGTCATTGTGGTCATGATCTAAAACTTAGAAAATACGTGTTAAAACTACATTGTAAAATAATAATAAAACTAAATGTTAATAATTACTTGCGATTGAATGAGAATCTTTTTTGTGCTATAATAAACTATGACAACATTAGAAAGTTATCCCAAATGCAAGGTAATTGGTCCTTCGTTGCAAGTACAAGCGCAGCGCGTGGGCCACGACCCGTGTCTGGGTTGAAGCTTAAAATCTGTGGTGGGCGTTGACATCTAGTGGGTACTATGGTTTTTTGCCAACGGAAGGCAACATCGATATTTAAATACATTTCGTAGGCGAAGGCTGCTCTGCGGCGGAGTGCTGACAGTGAGCTTCGTGCGGGCGCGTAGAGCGGACGTGAGCGCCAGTGAGTGCGAGCAAGCATCCCGAGTGTAGCTGCAGCGATCGAGATACGAACACAGTCATGGAAGTCGCGGGTCAGTGGCGGCGGGAGTGGGCTGGAACGGCCGAATATGGAAAGGTAAGTTCGTCCATTGCAGATTGGACACCCCTTTCATTCACGACACTTGAGAAACTAAAGCGAGTAAACAATACCAATCGCAAATCTATCATTTAGGAGTTGTGTGTGATTTATCGTTTTGTATAATTAAGATATTGTTTCTAAAATGTCAAGCGTAGGCTTAAGTGCTGTCAAGATTGGATTTAGAGTGTCTGTTGTTTTATTATCTCTCGGAACAGATTTATAACTGTGCAAGTGACATGAATTACGGCATTTTAGATTTACAAGCGGCCACTGCCAAAAGTATAAGGCGGTCGTGTCCTTATACGGTTTTAAAAAACTCGAAGCCGAGGTATTGCCGGCAGAGACCCGCAACTTTTATACTTGGTATAACCTAAAGTGAATCATTCGCAACCACGTCTTAAAGTTCAATGCTGGAGGCAACTTTTTTCCTAACCCGTCCGAACCAGTTTTCAGTGTTATTGCTCTTTTTTATTTAACATAAAAACTTTAACCAAGCAATGATTAGACATCTGCAAACTACGAGTAGTTGGTGCGCTTTTATTTAATTTAATAATAAGTAGTTTGCTGAATTTATTGTTTGGCATAAAGGTCATGGAATAAAAACAGACAGCTGAAACTCTTTTAACAGCATTATTCGACATACATAAACATTCTTGTGTACAAAAGTAAGTTAACGTCAGTTTTCATTAAAATTATTTCCTTTGCAAAGAGGAAATTAGTAAATGTTCGCAGCTGTTTTTTTAAATATTAAGTGACGTCCAAAATATTATCTTGTCAAGCTGATAATATTAAGAAGAATTCAGAAGATATTTCATATTTTTCAACTTTTTTATCATATGTATAATTTTTATAGCAAGAAATTAGATCGTCTTACATCATTAAACGGTATTTATTACCGAATTATAAATATGATAATGAATAAATGTAATGTCAATAAAATGTCACGCTTATTTTATGCACAAATAAATACAGAGGATTTAGAAAGGGAAATGTCTCAATACTGAATAGTAAACAAAAATGACACCTTATTTAAAATATTTACATATAGATTAACGATTGTATAATGCATGCCTGCTCTACATGTTATACAATAATTAATCTATATGTTAATATAATACTTAAGATTAATATTAGATAAATTTTAAGCGTCAGAATGTAACTTTCAAGCATTAATTATAAAAAACGCATTATTATAGTGTTAATACATAATACCGTATCGACATATTGCGTATCGTGAAGCAATACTTTTGAACGTCGAAGTATTATGTTTCACACGAGGGGAGAACTGCGAGAGCAAAGTAGCAGCAGACAATGCTGATGTACTATTATTGTTTGTAAGCATACACCAAAGCAGAATATTACTCTGTGTTCAAACACTAGCTCTGTATTCGGTTCTGCCCTCGTGTGAAACAGGTATTATCGTGCGAGACAATGGTGATTTCTGCGCTGACAGTCGATTATCGAACAGTGAAAGTGGCTTCGCACGTGAGGAAGCTACGGTCTCCTTGTAACGATTATTCATTATGTGCTAATTTGTAGGAAACGGAAACAAATAATTAAAGATTTTTTGTCATCATGTAGAGTAAATAAAATGAAAGGAAAACAAAGCGAAAGTAATAACTACGATTAAGATTTTATTTTATTTGGTAAAAATAATAAAACAGGGTGATCCTATTGTTTTGGTTTCTAAAATGTAATGACGTGTTTTATTCTAAACAAGTTTTGTCGTATTTGTAAAAATGCTTTGCTTGCCGTTATTAGCAATGACTTTACCAGCTAATCAAATGAAAGACAAATAACACAACATAAACAGACATAATATCTAAGATACTTAAGGAACCGCGATCGTCTCATTATAGTTAAGTTATAGTCAAGTTACATCAGTCCGTGTTGCGTTGATGTCTTTTGTTCTATTGACACTAATATTCTTATAATGCTATAAAATTATTTTTATTGTCAATTTCAAAATAGCTTATTGTATTATTAGTGTGGAAATTTAGGTTAACAACTAATATTATTACAATTTATGTTTTTCATGCTGTTTATTTCAATAACTTGTATAACGCATACAGTTATATTTTTGACCGACTTCCCAAAAGAAGGAGGTACTCAATTCGTCTGTATGTTTTTTTTTGTCAAATAAAAATTAAATGTTTTAGAGGACCACAATGTTAATGTCACTAACGTCAGAGGAGTTTATTAAGACTGTTTAATTCTTAATTCCTTCGCAATTCTGAAGGAGTTTAGAAAACGAACTATCTACTTGATTAAAACATTTTTGTTAATTTCAATCAAAAGTATTATAGATTTTTTAAAATCAATGTTGAAACCTTCAAAATTTATTTTTAAACAGAACGATTACGTATATTGTGTTTGCTTTGTCGATGTTCGTGGTTCGAAAACCGCCGGATATCCTGCACTGAGGTCGCGACGAGGCTGCGCCAGGCGCTACTGTTGTAAATTACATCCAGTCATTATTTAATATATCCATCAAAAAATGGCAAGAATGAAAATTGTATTTTTTTATTGAAGAATAAGAGGTCTCGATGATTCATATGGGTATTAACGAATATTGTTAATAATCATTAGCATAATTAATCGTCATCGTTTCGAAGTAGTTTGTTGATCTGATGATTTGTATGTGGCCGGTGTTTTCCCACAACCACGTCATACAGAATTAGTTTTGTATCGTAATTGTCGATGGTGCAAGAGTCGTTGACCGAACATAATCGCATCGTTCTTTGTATTTTCATTTTATAAATCTTTATCAGAGCGAAGACTGACAGGTTAATTTGCGATGTTAAATTAACACTAAATTGTAACACGATAACCGTTACGTTATATTAGCGGTTGGCATCAAGCGCGGGTCGTGGTCGCCGGTATATCTAGTCTAGCCGCTGACGTCAGATCATCCTTCGAATACTTGACCTTAATCTAATAACAGTCACAGTATTATTACAATAGATATATTGTCTAATAAGATCGGATGAAGTCTAAACATTTTAAACAATAACATTCGTGTGTTTTGATTCATCTTTACATAACTTTCATAAAGAATGGCAAATATACACAAAATGTAATATGACATGGTGTGTAAGACACGGTTATCCAGGTATGATTGTACATTTAATTATACCACACACCTACGTTAAGCGAAACTTGTCGTTCATTGGAAAGATCGCAATCTTGAGGTGCCATTTCATTTCGCCCCCGCGCCGCGCCACTCCGTGCCGCGCCGGAGATCACGTCACTCGCAACAATAAATATGTATACCTGTTTATCTTAACGAAGGTCGCAACGAGAACGCGTAACTTAGGATTGACAATTGTGAAGGTGTGTCCTTACTTAGGGACATTTTTGACGTACTTCAAACACTCTTAAATTACAACTTGTAAAGATTTTTTTTGTTATCTATTCTTATAGTATGAGGAATTGGTTACAGGAATTAGATATTAATTTCCATGACTTGACATCTTCAAAATGATTATTTGGTGCTTGAAAGGCTCTACGCCGCCTACTCAAGTAAAGGCTTGTTATCGACACTGAACATATTATGAGAGGCTTGCGAACAGTTATACAAGTGAGGTCATCAATACTTAAGATACCGTATGCGTGCGCTTGCTTCGTTATCGATTCACTTGGAAATGTCGGTGAAAAACTTGTTGCTTTTTATCATTAAGAAATAATGTTTTTTTCGTTTTCTGTGAAACCCCGTTTTCTTTGTTAAAAACCCAACATAAAATTGTATCTTAACTATGTCTTCTTTATTTAACATACGTCTTTTGTATTTAGTCATTTTTAATTAATCATTTGCAATTTATTCATACGACCTTCAACCGTTGTCATTTCAATACGATTCAGATAAGCTTAGTTTATATTGTTGACCATTAAAACAAAGGCAAATATGAGGCAGAATAGAAAATGCCACTTTGACTAACCTTTAGGCTTCATTTGATCTCGGATCCAAATAATGACTCAATTTTCTCGGTAAATTTCTACTCTGATGAATTCAAGGAAGGAAATCCTTAAATCAACACCGTGACTAAAGTTAAAAAGGTTTATTTAGTAAATTACAAGAAATTAATGGTACAACAAATTTGACACATAAAAGCAGGAAGGAAGATTTTCTTTACTCCCACGATCGATACCGTGGCAACACATTGCTGACAAAACAAGCATTAAAGTTCAACGTACTTGGAATATTTGCATGTTTTTTATTAGTACGCAGTTAACTAATCATTAACTTATAGCATGTAAATAATGTGAATGCACATTATTTACAATGGAAGGACATTTCAAATCTGTGTTTGCATGTTTTTGTGATTTATCGAACCAATAACTAAAAAAAATATGTTTTTTTATGATTTAGGTAAACAACCACTTGATAAGTGTTATTTCATAGTCCAAATGAAATGGTAACTAAGTAAATACCAAATATATTTCTTCATAACTATATAAGATGAAATAGATTTTTTCTTTCCAAAGTAAACAGATAAAATTCAACGTCCGTATTAGTTTTTCCGCACTTCTATTGTACTATACTATCTCGTACTGATAAACGACAAAGATCATTTAAAATCTCTCTAAATTATAAGACTTGTGAAATCATAAAAAAATACTCCAAAAATCTTTAAAGAAAACAAAAGCTGACCACCTTTAACTTTGTGCAATCTGTGACATTGGCATTTAAAATAACGATTGCAAATATATTTACAAGTTTTTACCTTTATAAGCTTCTAATACATATTTCGGTAGAGTTATTCGTACGTAATCCTTCTTTGTATTTAAATGTCTTAACCATTTCGAGTTGTTTGATATAAAAACTTTTGAATCGGAAAAAGTAGATGACGTTATTTTGACGATCAGAGGCGTGGGCTGCCAAGGTTTTAGCGAGCCGCTCCACGCTTCCTATTAAACTACGTCAGTGGCAACTAGCAACGCATGTTTACTTACATACTCTTTCTTATAAACCTTTTAATGTTTTTTTTTTAATGTAGATATAAACTTGCTTATGACGGACATTTTAAAGTGCATGTTATAAACGTCTTAATAAGAAATTGCGTGTGTTGAGTACTTAACGCAAATCTTAATAAAATTAAAAGAAAACGCAATGAGTGTTTTCTGCTATTGTAAGTGTATATTGTATTCTATATTTTGTTGACCATATGTCTTAATTGTTAAATATTTTGCACAGGTTACTGAAGGCGGTGTGACGAAGCGCGTGGCGCGTGCAATGGAGGTGCTGCACGCAAGCGCGCCGGGTGCGCGAGTGCGGGTGCTCCGCGCCGCGTACCACTCCACCGCGGGCCCGGGGGTGCCAGCCGCCTCTTACATGCTACAGTCCTCCAGAAGGGTAAACATCACTCTTAAATCGACACATTTATCTGTTGTAAAACTTGGAAAATTTGAGCTACTTCACAGTATAATTTTTGAATTGAAATAGCCTAAAATTTCTTACCCTTAACTATAGTGATTTCTCTGAAATACATAAAGTATCTAAGCAAAGATCATACTTACCACGATTCTTGCTTCGAATACTGCGGGTCGACTATGCATTTTGATGTTTATTTAAACATACAAGTATTCAATACACTCTAAAATAATATTAATAGTTATGATTAGTCTTGAGTTGCAATTGGCAGTAAAGCACTGTAACAATTTATGTAACGAACACCACATCTATCCGCAGACATATTACGATATCGCAATGAACTCGTGCGTGGGCTTCTGCAACTTTCAAAGTATCAACTTAGTACATGACAACTGATATAGTAGGTCATGTTGTACATTACAGTATTTCGGTAATCAATTTTTAATAAGAATTACAAAAGAGGTACTCTTCTAGGTCGAAGTTAATTTTTACTTGATAGATTCCCAACAAATTTTCACAGTATTGTTTTACTCTGACTTATGTTTTTATAATTTTTATCCTATTAATTCCAGGTAATATCTTCTGGATATGACTTCGTCGAACCAACATCATTGCCGTCAAAGCCTTTGGAGATATCTTCGATACCTTTAGAGATGGTAGATTCAGATGTTGAGAAACAGAATTATAAAGTAACCGAACCCGATGACTTAGATATATCAGAACCGTCAAAATGGCGCAGCGGTGCCGGAAGGAGTTCGATACGAATGCCGAGTGAAGAATCTTCATCGGCCGACAACGCCAGCATTATTGACCTCGATTCCAGAACAAATCGAAGAAATTCCTTTAAAAGTCATTTATTCGAACACAATGAGGGCAGGATAACGCCAACCCATCCTAAAAATAACCGAGTATCACCATTATTAGATGCACCTGTAACACTAAGTACCCTTAAATACAAATCTCTCTTAAATGGCAGCGACGACTGGAATAACAGACGAAAGAGTTATAGTTTTGAAGATACAGCACCATTAAATAAAATAATTTTAGATAGAAAAGACCGATTTGCAATTGAATCTTCTACCGACAGTGGCATTTGTAAGTCTTCTGAAATCGTGAACGATGTAGACACTGCACGCCAATATAAGAAGGACAGAAAGTCTGAACCACAGGATGAAACATTTAAAGATTGGCTGTATAAGAACAGAGCAAGTCACGTCATGAAGCCTGTCAAAGAGCATAGCGTGACACCGGACCGGCTTAGTGACAATAATATAACACTGCAGTCTTCAGGAAAAGTATGCATCACACTTCCAGTAGCAATCGAAACAGGAAATGGTTACGAGTACAGGAAATCACAAAACGTTGACGAAAATGATCGTAAATCCAAAAAGGTAGAATTTTGTAAAACTGAATTACATTTTGCGGCAGATACAGGAACCGTTAATATAATTGCCACAGATGAAAAACCACCCCCTACAAACGATTTTAGACGACGGAGGAGTGCCTTTGTTCCTATTAGCGATAGATTCGAGAAGTCTGTCACTTTGTTCGGCGAAAAGACTGACTTCCACGGAAGTGGTAAAAGTGAATATTTTTCTAGTTACAGCACTAACGATGTTGGTGACTCCGATGAGAATACAGCAGCTACAAAAAGTATTCTCAAAAATAAAATTCCGAAACCCAAGCCATATCTCTTAGGAGAGAACATGTCACTTGGGGACGATGATAATGTTAATAATGTGATTAAAAACAGCAGTGTAGATGATAACAATGGCATATCTGGTGTTACTCTTGTTAATGCCCAACTTCAGGCAGACAAAATATACAGTAACGAAACTAAGCCTAACTATTCAACTAGTTCTGGCTCAACTGCTTTTCTTCATAGATCTTATAGGACCACCAATGAAGGTAAAAAAATAATAATTTACTAAAATAATTGATTTAATGGTATTTTTTATAAATATTGATACATTTGAAATGTTAACTTTCAGGTACCTTCAGACAAGGCAGTTTTAGGAACACTACAAAGCCAGTAATGGAAACTAACAAACCATTGCAATTAAGTAATGAAAAGGATGAAAAATTTTCAACTAACTCTGTTAAAAGAAAATTACAAATGATTCAAAAATCGCCAACACTAGGAGTTTCGAATACGCGCCAGCTGAGAGAAAGCGATCTAATGTATTTTGGCATTGCAAAAGATCGGGAATGCGATTCAAAATCGCATGAACGCCATGAAAATAAATTATACGACAAAAACAATGAGCAAGAGGAGATATTTGAATCAGTCAGATTAGTTCGAAAAATTTCTAACAGTGTTTGCAGCAGCGATATGGAATCAGACGAGGCGCCCGAATACCAAAATATATTGTATAAAACAAATTATACGCCTGTTCCCGCTCCTCGGGGACGTAACAAATATGACACGGAAATAGAAATAAAAACAAGGAATTTGAATTCAATAGAAGAGCAAGATAACGACGATGTTCCGACGACTTTAAGAAGGTCCAGATTGAGGAGACAAGAGACGACCAGCTCTTCAAGCCGTAGTATATCTGAGCCACCGAAGGCTAACAGGTTGCGCCATAAAGAACATAACCCACAAAAGAGTAGTTCAAGAAATTCTCCTACCTTGCGGTAAGTCTAACAGTATTGCAAATAGTAAAGATTTATAACATTCATCTCGTTATATTTATATTTATCGATATTAATAAACACTGTAAAACTTATGTTGTAAATAACTACTGCCCTTTTAACGATATTTCCATTAATAAATTACATTTTTAAATTGCAGTGCGAAGAGGAACGAATTTAAGAAGGAACATGATATAGCAGAAGAAACAGTTTCTAAAGATAGTTCGTCATTGTACGTCAATCTAAGGCCAAAAGAAAGACACAATTCAAATGATAAAAAAGATGTAAATCAGCAATATCGCACAAAACCGCAATCAAATCTAAATGAAAAAAATAACACCATGGAACGTATAAAAGCTAGAAATACTAATCACGATGAAGAAAGAAAGAAAAACGTTACAAGATCAGATTCGCTAAAGAACAAAAGCAATATAAACGAAAGTTCACCAACGCGTAAAACTAGAGTTCAAAGAACAGAAAAACTCGTTACTCCTGAACTACCTCATAGTGGGAGAAGGAATAGAAACGAGGAAATTATTTACGATAGAAACAATAAAACGCGTGATAAAGATTTAACATCTGGTCAGAAGGACCATCGGATACGATCACTGCATCGTCACGTAAAACCTGTACTTGATAACAACTCCTTGAAAAAAGAAGACAAACTAAAAGCGGATGCTGCTAAAGAGTTTAAAGAAAATTATGATATGAAACATATTATACATCCCACTATTAATAATAATTTAACCAGCATTTCACAAAAATCAAAACCATCAAAGAACAAAATACCCGACAATTATGAGATGAAAAAATCTAGAAGAAGTGAGTATGTCATAAATTACGATGACAAAGAAGGAACTGTGTCATCTGTAAGAAAAGTAAGACCAAAACATGGTTCTGAAATTAAAAACCGTTCTGCTAAAGAGAATAAAGAAAATGCTACTATAGAACATAATGTTAGAATTAAACAAATAAATAAAATAGCCCTACGTAAGTAACTCGTATGCACATGATACTCATTTATAACGTAAACATATATAACATGAAAATATTTCAGAAAAGATTCCTGATCAGAAGGAAAACGGATTTATGGTTAAGGACAGAAAATCAAAAAATGTTCATAGACCTTGCCAACTTTTATAATAGAATACTAGTCTACTTAATTTAATCGTGAAAGAATTGCTGGAAAGTTAAATCACAAAGTGATTTATGAAAGTCGGTTTGTTTGTTGCTGTTTTATGGGGAACGAAGTGTAACAATGATCTCACGGTGATTTTTTCTAATAATAACGATTTTGTATTTCCTCTAATAATGCTAAACTCTAACCTTATATTAACAGTAATATAAAACACATTTTAAATTACTACATTTTGTTTTATTTATTAATTAAATAACTTTTTACCATAACATTCAAACTGTCGTCAAAGGATCTTTATCACATTCGCTGACTAAAACTTGAATTCGATTATTTAATTTATTATGCAATTTTATCGAAAATCCACGTAAAAATCCTCTCTCAGAATCCGAATGGTTGGTTAGTATGACAGATATACCTCTCTGGGTGGCATCTAACACATCATGATGGAGCATTTCTCCTAAAAATATAGAAAATTGCGTATTACAAAAATGTTCCATAATTTGATTTTTTTTAAAAATAGCTGTATTTATGGTTAGACTCGCAAAAAGAGATTTGGATGAGTATGGCAAATGAAAAGCGAAATTTTACAGTATTGACATTAAAAAACGCATTTTATTACAATATTCGAATAATGCGAGTAAATGTGTATACACTAACCTGTTAGAAAAAGATCTGCGTTCGAGACATTCTTTAGCACCGACCCTCCGGAGCCCGCACAAAGTGCCACAGTTTGTATGGTATCATTCATAGATTTACCACAACCCAGAGCTAAACGTACATATTTTAACCCTGTCACTTTCTTTACTCTGCCCACAGCATCGGTTAAAGGAATGTTTGAATTTAATCTGACAAACCTGTAAAAGAAAAAACAAAACGCTTACAAATATAAAAACGAAATGGCAACACTGGTGACTTGTAATTGGTCTTAAATTTTTTGTTTGTTTTATTTTTTGTAAGTTAGCTGTAAATCCATAAATAAATAAAATAAATCTCTCCCCACCTAAGCATGGTAAAAGAGAACGCAATAAGTATTTTTTTAAATATATTTTTAGGGAAAAATATTTCTGTAAATTAATAAAACTATCATATTAAGTTACCTCCCGGCTCCTGTATTAGGATCAACACCAGGTACAATGGGTGTAGCTTCATAGTAAGGGAAAGCAGACGCCAGCCAGTCGTTGACGCCGCCCTGAGTGCTGTCCCAACTCGTGTGAGGCGAATACAACGATATGCGATTCTCCAATAGAAAAGAAACAATGCGCTCCTTCCATGAACTGAAAATTTAGAAAATTATTCCTTTTATAATTTTATATACTAGCAGTTGCTCGCGACTTCGTCCGCGTGAAATTTAATTGAATTGAAAAATACAGCCTATGTTGCTAACTGAAGACATATATTTTTAATGGTGAAAGAATGTTTTAAATTGCGCAGTAGTTTTGAGTTATTTATACACAAAAATACAAATCTTTCCTCTTTACAATATTAGTACAAATAGAATAATCATTTATGAGATAGGATTATTTGACTTATAAAAAACTGACTTCTTTACCTAATTACCGAAATACTTAAAACTATCAGTAGGAAGCTTAAAAAATCAGATGAATTGTACCATATTAAAAAACTATATACCTTTGATTAACAGATTTTAAAGGAGCAAATATTGGTGGGTGGTATGAAATAATCATTTCACAGCCATGATTGTGAGCTTCTTGCGCCACATTCTCTGTCAAATCGTTGGTCATTAGAATTTTAGTGATAAGCCTGCAACAGAAATAATTATAAACAAATAAACTTTGAGACAAACTGCCTTTGTACTCGCGACAATTGGCAAGCAGACCCGCTCAGATCACTATTTGATGTTTAGATGTTTTTAATAGTTCAAAGAAGCTAATTGTAATTTTTTTAGATGAAAAGCAATCTTGTCTCGATAAGGATTAATGTAAATTAATAAATACATACCGTTCAGTGTATGGTTGCACAAGCAGTCCAGTGTTATCCCAACTCTCAGACAATGCTTTAGGAGCAAAATCTTCTAGTGTATTTATAACTTCTGCCAATGTAATCCCATTACCTTCAGAGTTAGACATTTTCTGGTTTACAGCAAAAGAAAAAAATCTTTTAATTCCACTTGTTCTTAATATATTATAGTATCTTATTGAAAGAAACATTAGTACACTGAAAAGATAAGACAATTCAAACCTACTTATTTCTACAATAAAAAAATATTTTTTATACATACAAGTATAATGTAAATAATATTGTACATTTTTTACAAGTTTATTATGTCTACCACCAGCATTGATTTATGGATGAAAACAGTTATTGTTCCAATACAAAATATTTATAACACTTATATCTTAACTTTGATACAGTTTTTCTTTGATCACAAACACTTTTGTATAGCATAATTAATATTATTTATAATATTACATAAAATATATAAACTACGTAATTTATTTGCTATATTACAAATGTATGTTATTCAGAATATTTCCATATTTTTATCTCTCCATCATCACTGCAAGACAGTAATTCTTCATTCCCCATTGGGTTCCATGTAACACAGTTTACATCTTGAGAATGTGCATTCAACTGTGTGGATACCAGTTCAAACGTAGGAGCATTCGGATCTGAATCATCTGCCTCCTTGAAGATTCTTATAATATCATCACCACATGCTGTTGCTAATAGGCCTGATTTTGGGCACCATGCAATGTCATAAACACATCTTGTGTGATATCCAGATAAAGTGCAAACACATTTCCAAACTGATTCTTTATCATCCACAATCACACCTTCCGGGTTACCAGGTTTATATTCTTTCCAAATCTTAACTGTTCTATCATCACTGCAAGTGGCAAGTCTTTCTCCAGTTTTGTCAAATGCAAGACTCCAAACAGTTGATTCATGTGATTGTAATGTAGCTACACAGGACCAGTCATTGTCTAAGCTATCCTCTTTATACATTTTTACTGTGTTATCATATGATGCTGATGCCAGAATATCAAGGGAAGGGTGCCAAGCCACCTACAATAACAATAAAAACATTTTATCTTTGCTTAAGATAGTAATCAATTAATGTATGAATAAAATATACTACAAACTTTTTTCACATCTTGATTGTGAGCATTGAGAACAGCCTCACATTCATATTCATCATCTCCAGCTACTTCCCAAACCCACACTGACTTGTCACGACCGCAAGTTGCCAATAGCTGACCTGATGGCGACCATGCCACACTTTTTACTTCATTCTCATGTCCCTCTAATGTGGCATTGCATTCAAACTGACCTATTAACATAAAATCTTTTGTAACAATCAATTATTTACAGTGCTTCCCATATATTTCAATTCAAATACACACCACTTTTCTTGTCCCAAATAGCTGTTGTGGCATCAAAGCTTGCTGAGGCCAGAAAATTTCCACATGGAGACCATGCCACTTCTCTAATGGTGCGCTGGTGTCCATCAACAAGAACAGTCTTCATGGTCCAGTCCTGTCCTTCTTTACTCCATAATTTTATAATTTTATCTTCTCCACAAGAAGCAAAAACTTTTCCTTGGGGATGCCATGACACATTCCAAACAATACCTTTGTGGCCAGTTAAGGTCTGCAGTAGTTCTAATCTACCCATTTTTGCCTGAACATAATGATATTTTATTTTTCATTTGGTCTCTTTCTTCATTTCTCATGTTAAAAAAGTTCCATACATTTAGAGGAATATAAGAACCATACATTGGTGTAAAAACAATTGACATGTTTTCTACTACTCATGTATTGATATTGTAAACCACTACCATAAGTGTATGAACAGTAAAGGATACATTTGGTATTTACATTTCATGTCATACATAAAGACTCACAATGAGAACTTATTAAGCATCATAGCTTTACAATAATTACATCTTTTTACGAGAAATTATACTTTAATATAAATTTAATTTCACTGTATAAAACATTATTTAAATGAAATACTTGTGCACTATTTAACACAAACGTAACAATATAAAGTATTAGATTTTTATCAATATGTGGGTGGTGTGAAAAATTAACATAACAACCGAAATTACACAATAATGAAACTATCAATAAGTGCGTGACTAAAAGAAAAAAGAAATTAAAAGTAACAAATGGCTAAAATCTTATCATGAGTTACAAAAAAAATGTTTCTAACCTTAGTACCAGATCCTTATAGTTGTTCAAATCTTTTACCTTAAATGTATAACAATGGTAACTTGTATCCAATTTTATAATGAGTACTCTAATACAACTGAAGTTAAATATTAATAATTAATAAATCTAATTAAAATGTAAAATTGAGAGTTATAAATTCAAGCTTGTCAACTGTCAATGTCAGTCAGTTGACAAGTCATTTGTAATCAATGTGTGAACCGAAACAGAAAATATATTTATAATAATTGTAAATAAATTATTCATCTATTTATAGAAAAAAAATACTAGGCATTAATTTTTTTGGAAAATCTCATTGTTTATTTATTGCTTACGTTGAAAGAAGAAACAAACATTATCTTACCATTACCTTGGCCACGTATTTCAGATCGGTATTGAAAAAAAAAACATACCGTCGAATTGAATACCTCCTTCTTTTGGGAAGTCGGTCAAAAAGAAAAAGTCAAAGTTAACTGTCATCTGTCAACCTGCCAAGCCAGTCCAATAAAATATTCAAATGAAATTAACCAAACTTGCAGGAAGTTAAGTAATTCTAAAAATGAAATTATTAAATGAATTATTGATTTAATTTTCGTAAACTTCTACCATCTAAGTTGTCAATTTAGTAAATAGATAAGTTTTAAGTTTAGAAATTAAGAGGTTATTATAATTTTTAAAGTTTAAACATTCCTAGTAGAGGAGTGCGGTTTTGAGTGTTTACTAGTAATAAAAATGGAAAACAATCAAACAATTGTCCCACCGCATCTTAATGCTGAAGTTTACAGATCAGATACAACTGGCACTAGTACATTATCCTATTTGGATTATATTCGACTTCATCCAGGTGAGCACATTTCATAAACCTTTATTTTGAATAATTGAACTTTTCAACATTGGAAGATAATTACCAAACCTAAATAAAACATAAATGAGATGAAGATTCAAAGATTTTTTAAATCACTTTTATTTCTTTTAGACGGAACAATATTAATTGGATGTTCAGAATTAACCGGACGTTATTGGAATGGCGGTGTCAACATAATTCAGTGTGAGGGTAAAGATAAGAAATTTGATAAAACTGAAAAAAAGAACATAAGCCTAACAAGTGGGACAGCAGATGGGTGTTTTGTTGAGAATTCTAACAAGGTAATGTTTGTTTATTGTTTAAATTGTGGATAAAAAATCTTTGTGTGTTTACTTTAATAAAAAAAATGTAATGACAGTGAAAGTTTTAAAACAATTCTTGTAAGAATGGCCCACAACTATTTTTCCAGGTATTACTTTGTGAGGACAGTGGTGCTGTAAGTATATGGACTACCAGTGATGATGCATGGAAGCAATGGACTGAGGAGCTGTCAGTAGCTGAACATGATGATGTGATACTCTGCGTTGATTGTTTGGAATCTGGAAAGAAATATGTTACTGCTGGTGCAGATGGTAATGTGAAGGTAAACATGCTTCCTAACTTCAAACAGCCCTACAAATATACACAGTATAAAGTTAAACTTAGAAATTAACAGTGTAAGTGCCCGCTTTAACATCTTAGCACGAATGGGCCTGCACGCCCGGTGTAATACCACAACCAAACAGACAACAGGCGTGAAATAGAAGCAATTTTGTGTTTCGTTTGATGAGTGTGGTGCCAGAGGCCTAATTAAAGTCCCTTTCTCTTTACCAACCTTTTCTTATAAGGAGAGGATGGGAATGGGAAGTGGATTTGACGGTGGAGGAGATGCATAGGAAGGGGTAATATCCTCTTTATGTGCGTCTCCTCCTCTGTCGGATAAGGGTAGGCAACGCATCTGCAATTGTGGATGTCTATGGGCAGTGGAAAATGTTCTAATTATTGTATTATATTACAGGTTTGGGATATATGTGATTTGGTTTGTGTAAGAAATTATGACTCGGCTCACACAATGGCTGTAAGCAATGTCTCTGTCAGACCTAAATCACACACCTTTGCAACTGGTTCATTGGATCAGTTTATTAGTCTGTGGGATGAAAATATATTTCAACCTGTTTGTGGTAAGTTAACTTTTTATGTAATCACTGGTTTATTCAATTTTTTATCTGGATTTTCATTCATAGCTAATATTTTGTAAATAGACATTGTCAAGAACAACTGCGGTATTCGCTGTCTACAATGGTTGGATGAAAATCGTTTGGTATATGGAGATGATGTGGGTGTATTGAGCCTAGTAGATATCAGAAAGCCAGGAGAAGGAACCAAATTATCTGAATTTCCAGCTGCTGTACATCAATTAGCTGTTAAATCAGGGTATGACTAATAAAAAAAGTTGTAAATCATGTTTTCGTATGCTTACAGATTAAGATTGTATTCTTTTTTTTTCAGTTCAAATAAAGTGGCTGTATGTTGTGACAATAAAACAGTGACAGTGTATGAAATTACATCAAATAGCAAAATTAATATGACATATAAGAACGGAAAGTTGCATAATGGATTTGTAAGAGGCTTGTCATGGGATGTAAGGGATGAAGATGTTTTGTATTCTGTAGGATGGGATGGTGAACTATGTAAGCACAATGTTAATGAAAAACGTATAAAAGAAGATTCTTAGTGTATATTTTTCCAATAAATGCAATAAGTTTAACAAGAAGTTTTATTTCAAAAGTTTTTTATAAAGTCAACTCGACTTGGCAGTTGCAAACCAATAAAGTAAAATAATTACATTTTTTCTTAACTTTCTTGATATTAAAATCTATTGACAGTGGAAATTCACGGTTTTTTTTTGTGTCCATATAAATTCGAAGACAAATCCTTAGTGAAAAAGTTGTCTGGAAAGTACAAATAGAAAGGATGAAGCAATTAAAAGCTTATGTGTTTAAATGCTGAAGAAATCATTTATTATTATAGAATAGATAAGTAGTTATTGTGATAGGCGTTGCAGTAGTCAATGTCCGGCGGGGGAGGGGGCGCGGCGCTCGGGGGAGGGGCTGGGCGAGGAGCCGCGCCGGCCCGGCTGCCCGGGGCTCTTCAGACGTACCATTGTATCTAAATGGCGAAACCTTAGAAAGAAGATATAATTAGTTTATAAAAGGGTTAAAAGAAGTTAAAAATGTATAAATATGCATAAAATAACCTTTTAGCCATTATTTATAAAATAACGGTAAAATCATCTTATTCGTTTGATGGAAGATGGTATTTATTTCCTAATACGTACCTCAACGGCAAATCGTTGTTGTCGTTATCGACACTTTGGAAGAAGAACGCCAAAGGCCAGCTGATCCAAGAAGATTGTTTCCTAAAAAGAGAAGCATCCATTGGGGTTATTCCTTCTAACAATTGCAAGGTACTTTTATATTACATTACGTACGGTGTGGTAGGCAGCACACCGCCGGCGTCCGAGGGCGTATCGGGAGATGCGGGGGCAGCGGCAGCGGCGGCAGGTGGGGAGCCGGGCGTGGTGGGCACGGGCGGTGGCGTCTTGTTGATTGCCGGGTTGTAGATCTTGGGGTCGCTGACCATGCGGACGAAGAACGAGCGCTTGTGGGCCAGAGCCGCGCGGTGGCGGCGAGCTCTTTCTTCATTTAAGTCCTTGAATACATGTATACGTAAGAGATCAACTGTAGTCCTATGATGTATTGAGCAAAAATCACAATTTACTACAAATTTCGAAAAATATACATATCGCCATGTTTTGAAAAAAAAAAACTTTAAAATCAATGGCTACATTAAAAATATTTAGGTTTCTTAAACGAAATGTTATTGGTAGTTTAATGAAAATAAAAAAAAAATGTTTTTCGTTATCCCTCGATGTAATTTATCAAAACTTACTCGTTCCTTGTCCGGACCCTCCAGTAGCTCGGTAGCGAATTCTGTTATGATATCCCAAGCAATTTCTGTAAGTAAAAGGTATAAAGTGAAACCAAAGTGAAATATTATTTCAGTAACTGTTTCGTGGCAATTGAATATTGAAGTAACAACATTGAAAACTAATTTTGTTTTTCTTAATTAACCCTATCTTGTTATATGTTTTAATAGAAATTTAATTTAAATTGGTTCTACAGCGGGTATTTCTGGGTCTGCTAAACTAAAAACTTGAGATTGAAGTAAAGGAAACAAAGGTCTTAACGTTCATCACACTTATACGTTAAAGATCAACAGTTTACCGATGTCTTCCCGAGTCGCGTGCTGGTATACGACACAGAAGCGGATAACGAAGCGATCGCGCACGGACGCGGGTACCATATGGATCTTGCCCGAGGCGTTGATGTTGGTTAGCAGCTTCTTGTTCAGCTCGTCCACCTGCTCGCCCGACTCCTCTGGACCTCCCACCAGACGGAAGCAGACCAGACCCAGCTACAATAAATCAAAGAATCAATAAAGAGAACGAAACGACGATTAAGTGTAAATTAGTATGTTCTTAAAAAAAAGGTTATCATTTTGAACTGAAATCATTTTATTTTTACCTTTACTTGGTTGCAGACTTGGAATCTCTCATCCTTCTTCACGAGTTGTTCAAAGTACTTGGCCAGTTCGCAGTGACGGCGTACATACTTCTGCAAGCCGGTGATGCCGTAGCTCCTCAGCATGAACCAAAGCTTGAGCGATCGAAAGCGTCGGCTCAGTGGCACGCCCCAGTGTCGGTAGTCGATAGCAGTGTGGTCGTAGCAGTGCTGGAGGTACAAAGGGTCGACAACTAGTGCCGACGTCAGGAGATATCTATTGGTAACCCACAGGAGAGAACTGTCGAAGTTCGTAAGCATCAGTTTATTAGGGTTGGTGTTAAAGGAATCTGCGTATTCTACACCGGCTAGATGATATTTGTGCTCGGGACAGAGGAAGGCGCTGCCGGCGTATGCGGCGTCTACGTGCAACCACACGGACGGGAACTTCCTCACAACGGGACCTATTTCAGTTAGAACGTCGAACGAACATGACGAGGTTGTTCCCAACGTGGTTCCCACAAAGAACGGAACTAGGCCAGCCTCCTCGTCTTCTTCCATAGCCTGAAATTAAATGAGAATTAACAAAAGTTTCATTAATTTTAGATATGTATTAAAGTATACTATCATTTTCTAAGCTCATAGTGCACATAGTAACTACTTGTAAATAATCAGTATTCGCACAAATATTTCGCTGTCATTAGCATGCGTCGGATCAGAATGACACTCAATTGAGTAGAGATCGTTTTAATTAAAGCGATCTTCATTTCTAAAAGGGAAGAATGGTGAATTTCAGTATATTTGCGTCATAGAAAGTTGTTCACAATGCGGCCGTGTCTGCCGGCGCGCCACGTATTTCCGGAATCCGCGGCCGAGTCATTAAACGGCTGGCAGCGGTGCCTGCGGAACATCACGCCGCCGCCCGTCGCCGCCCGACGCCGCCCGCCTTTTCAATTATCTCTCGATTATCTTCACCGCGCCATAGAATCTTTATAACATACCACTCCTGCTTTTATTAAAATGTTCGTGCTTTCCTAATAAAAGTTAAGATTGCGATCAAACGTGACCCTGATTTACTGCATGAAATATAACTAGAGACACTTACCTCATCAATCAAATAGATTTATTTTTACAATCATGTTAGGTCTAATTGACTAACTTACTTGTTTCAAGGTTTCACCTCTTAGTGCGCCATTTTCATCTGGTTCCAAGATGCGCATCTTAACAAAGCTTATCATGGCCGCCTTCTCAACGCAAGAATGCGCCTCTTTGGAGCAGTATGCGATCAATTTTGACAGCAAAAGACCTTCATCCACGGTAGGAAACTGATGTTTCAGGCGTTTGATGCCGTTAGCCCTTGCAGCGAGCATGCAGACAAGTACACATTCGCTTGCTGAACCCTACGAAGGTTATAAAAACATATCATCCTTAACCTGAACTTTTTTTAAATAAAATAAAATTCATCGCCATTCTTGTTGGACGAAGCTGGAAATTCCAGCAACATGTGCGTAATGGAGGTCACCCTTTCGTCCGCAAAATCTTCAATTGAACATGGTAAATGACAGAACTAACTATAGATGCAATGTGTTTCTTACATTACGTAAAGATATACAGCGATAGTTATTCAGACTAACATAAAAACTAGTACTTTTATTATTGGAGTACAGATTTAAAACCGTAGTAGATTGATAACTCACTTCAATAACACCGCCTCCTTTGCTACCCTCTTCCAAAGCTAGGAATGCTGGAGGTAAGCCAATCGCTTTACCTGAAAATGAAAATTTACCTGTAATATTACATTTATTATCCTATTAATCTTATTGCATCTTATACTATTAAATTATATTTTTAAGACGTTAAATGCCACCGAATTGCCCTGCATGTTCATTTCCATAAACTCGCGGTGGTATAAACGGTGTTTACCTAAATAGCAACATTATTAATGCTCACCCATCCAGTCTAGCATAATGATTTCTAACTCCGTATTTGCAGGTGCTGCTGCCTGTAAAGGTTGAAAAGATTATTTATAACCATTAAAACATTGGTGATGACATGTGATTGGCAGTTCACAAGTAACTATTGTTAATTGAAATTGTCACTAGTTACTCGTATGTGCGAATTCTTCCATTACTGTAACGTGTACCCAACAATTAGTTAGTTTATTTTAGATTTGCTATTACGATGATGAATCAGTTTCACTGTTGTGCGGCGACCGAAAATAAGAGTGCTTAGGTTATTTTACGGCAACTTAACTAAAGATACCGGAAATGTGCAACGAGTTTAAAGGGCTGTAATTCAACGCATTCGGATTTTTATGAAACATACAAAAAGGTTAAATTCAAGTGTATCATTTTGCAATTACATATTTATTTAAAAAATTCAAATTGCCATCAATAAGTAACTGTTTCTAATTGTAGAATACTATTAATAGCTTTGAACATCGATTTCAGGTGGCAGTCGTTTAATAATTAAAATGGAACATGGATATTCAGGTTACGTAGTCTCTTTATAATTTCGCAGTTTTCTAACTTAGAGTCTACAGTTTTCACTGACCTATGTAAGTGTTCATATAAAGGCTATTCGAATAATTATGTCTTTCTAGATTTCGCCCTCGACTCCGTCTGCGTGTAATTAAAAAAAATATAAGTGAATAGGCTATGTATTCTTCAAGACTATCCTCTACATCTATGCCAAATTTCATCGAAATCCGTTCAGTCGCTTAGGCTACAAACTCTAAATCCATCAATCCATCTAAACTTTCACATTTGTAATATTAGTATGATAACTATTGCATTATTTAAGTGTAATAATACTTTTGTCACTGTGATAGTTTAGTGGAAAAGCTATCGAAATAAGCATACATCGATAGAGTTTGAGGTCCGAATTTTGTAAATATTCATCTTTTGCGTTTGGGTTCAATAAAGTTTTGTTTCTAGATTGTTCTAAAATAACTGTAACATTCATTGAAATAACTACTTTTTTTTTACTATGAAATTGGAAATAATTCGAAATTCAAATTGTCAAAAGAGAATGAAAGTGATGTTAATGATTTTTTGTTAAAAGTTTTTCATCAGTGTAAACGCGTGCTCCATGACTCGTCATCATGGATTTTTCAGGTTAAATGCGCACGAAATCTCACTGAAGTGGTTGACGACTAATTGGAGATTCGCCTTTAACTTTTCAAATACCATTCAGTGCATTTTACGTTATGATTCAAAAAGTTTTTAAATAGAACAATCGCATAATGTATTCTAGCTAGATTAGATTAGATTCTAGATAGACATTAAATTTCTGCCTGTGTTAAAAAAATATAACTATTTTATCTAGTTCGCTTACTAATCTGACTAAACTAACTGACTAATAGTAGAAGACTTAGACGAATATGAGTTTTATTAAAACAGTCGTTATTTTTACTTCGCTTCCTTATTTCTGTGTTATTCGTTTTTACATCCCTACTTGTCTTGTAAAGAATTTAAAATCGAACTTTTATTTAGTGTTGTACAGGAAAAAGTCACAAAAGTACGTGATTAATCACGTTCCAATCAGCAAAGCTTTGTAATGGAAACTGTTCTCTTGGATGAGTACAGGAATTTTACATCAAAAAATTCCTTTTAAGTATTAAGTTTCTTTACATTCTTAAAACTATATTAAAAAAATGTAACATTAAAAAATTGTGTGGAGTTTGGATTCTTACTATAAAATGTAATTCTTACCCAAGAGAAACCAATGCAGGCTATACCAGCGGACAGCATATCTCCAAGAATGGATGGATAGCCGTTGCCTGAAGGGAAGTAGGCATGGAAGCGAGGATGCTGCCAGTGCGTCAGGCCCGGCATGATCTTGTTCTCCACATCGCACATCACGTCGTCCCAGCTCTCAGGGTATTCTGGTGCCGAAGGCGGCAGCGCGGCCCGCAGGTACCCTGGCTCCACAGACGGAGTCACGCGCCGCGATCTAATCGTCGTCATGTAAGTACAAATATAATCCACCATTTCCTTCCCGCGTACTCTGAACTCTTCAGTGTCCATAGCGGATTTATTGTTTTAAAAACTTTGAAATGAAAACTTTTTTATAATAATTGTGCAAGGGTAAAGGCAGTTGAGGCAGTGGTGTCGGCTTGACGACCTCCGACAGACTCGACGGCCGGCCAACAATCCGTTGGTCGAGAGGTTGCGCGGGGCGGCGGCGTGGGGGCGAGGCGGGCAGGGCGCTAAGAGTATGTTAGCCCGCGCTTAGCTATGGGGTTAAGTACAAGCGTAAACTTAGCGATTATACTTAACTTTAAAAAATAAGATTAATTAATTTATATATAAAAAATGTCAGATTTTTTGCTAGATTCTTTATTCGATTTGAAGTTTCTAAATTAACAATAGAAATTTACAAGAAAGTTATCCGCCTCCGCTTCCGCGTCCTTCGTCACTCGCAATATATCCGCAGTTTATCGGCCCTTTGCCACTTCATTCACTCCTTGTCAGCTAAACGGTTTCCTTCTTACACAAAAATGGGGAGAAACTTAACAAGAATTTATTGATTTATAATTTTGGTAATTAAAAAGGTCTAATGCGTCAGTCACAGTTTAACTTAGCTCGAGGCATCCCTCAGGAACTTAAGTCAAGACTATTAAGTTACTGAGTTGGAAGACAGACAAGCTTTTGGGTCTCAAAAGGACCAACGCTTAGACTTGAGTAAAGAATTATAGTAATTTTAGTCATGTAAAAATAGTAAATACAACCTTATAACGTTAGTCTTAAGTAATTATTATTATCGATCAATTTTATTAATATTAAGATAATAATTATACACATTATGTACGACTATTTTCTAATAACAATACAATTCCAAATTTGTACATCGTGATTGTAAACTGCCTTTTAATACTAAACTGTAAATTCAGATCTTTTTATATATACGAGTAGTTAGTTTTATTAAGGTGACTACTATTACAATTTATATCATTCAGTTTGTAGAACATTATCATTAGATTGTTATCAATAATAGAATTGAAAGTTACCATTTTGTATTTCGTAATTGTTTGCCTTTGTCAGTGTATAAACATAACCACATATATATCTAACTAGCTGTTGCCCGCGACTTTGTCCATGCAATATTAAGATAAAGAATAAGCCTACAATCAAACCTCATCTATGTCAGCTCAGTATAAGTGTCAGAGATTACCCGTAGGACAGACGGACGGACAGGCATAAAAATTTTAAATGCGATTTTCGTTATCAACGTAATACACATCTTTCCGAAATCTGGAACATTTCTTTTGATATTATAAACAGACACACCAATTTTATTATATCTACAGATAGATAATTTCTATTTACTTACAATTTACCGTATTGTAAGCCTAGACTTCGTGTACATAGAGTTAATATTTAAGGTCTTCCGTTTTAGATCAATGTCAGTGGGCATTGTAATAAAATCCGACATTAAAAAGTGTAACAGAATTTAAATAATTTGTAATTCATAGAAGATTTCAATAAAGTAATATAGACGGTAAAACGCTCGACGCACTCAAATGGTCAGGAGTACGCCTCTTTGAATATTCATCTGAAAAAGCTTATCCTTTGAGTTAACTTTAGAATTTTTCATTATAGGCCAAATGGTTAAGTGCCGCCCGGGTGTAAGGCACCTTTGCATTGCTTAACCTACAAAAGCCTACGGAATTATTTATTTATTTATAAATAATAAAGTATTGAAATAAAATAAGCGCAATACTTTATCGTAAAATTTTCTCTTTCCATTGTAGTTGTATGAAAAGGAATACATTAAAAAGTAGTAAATATATTTAACTATTACACTTCATAATTCATACATTTATACCAAATTTTATCTAAATCCGTTCAACCGTTTTATTTGCGAAAGTTTAGATGGATGGAAGTGTGTTAGAGTTTGTAGCTAAACGGTTGAACGGATTTCGATAAAATTTGGTATAAATGTAGAGAATAGCGTAGAAGAGCACATAGACTACTACTACTACACTACTGTTTTTTTTTATTCCTCGCGAACGGAGTGGCGGGCGAATGATGGGGACATAAACCAGAAAGTGTTGAGATTGAATGTGGATGGCTACAAAGGAAGAGGAAGACCGAAGAAAGTATGGATGGATTGTGTGAAGGAAAATATGCTTAAGAAAGGAGTGGATTCAGATATGACGGCTGATAGAGATGTATGGAAGAGCAGCACATACTGTGCCGACCCTCCATAAGGGATAAGGGCAAGTGGATGATGAACGGAGTGGCGTGCGAAAGCTAGTTTAATTATAAATTTCACTCGTATTTTTTGTTAAAGGCCTTATTTGTAAAAAAGGATTTTATCAAATCGTTATATGTCATTCACAAACATGTTCGGACACTATAAAATTCAGTGTATAATATTTGTAAAGCATTCCATCAATAGAGCATTTTTAACATTATTTTCCGTCAAACTTTATAGTGCTATGAATTCGAACATCACGATAAGGCACTCTTCTCATGAAATACTATCGAATTAGGGAATTATGAGGAAGCAGGAAATAAATAAATTGGGTTTTAGTTTTTATTCTACTAGCTTTCGCCCGCGACTCCGTCCAGGTGGCCAAAAAAAAAACAAAAGTGAGTAGCCTATGTGTTCTCCCAGACTATCATTTATGTCTATGCCAAATTTTATTGAGATTCGTTCAGCCGTTTAGGCTACAAACTCTAACAAATATCTATCTATCCATACATCCATCTAAACTTTTGCATTTCTAATATTAATTAATTAGTAAGATTTAATTATAGCAAGGTAACTAGGACACCCGAATCGACAACTTCCAAATTTGTCTCTTGCACATATTTCTTTGAAAATGTCTTTGATTAGTCATATTTTACCGTAACTTTAAGAGATACATGTTTTAGAGTACATTGCACTTAATTTTAATAAAATGCTGACTGCATCAAATCGTACATGTATAGGCGGCCTATTGACGTTGTTGAGCGTAGGCTGGGCGGGCGACGCGCCGGGAGGTCGCCGCGCTGGAACGCGCATTCCTTCCGCCCCGGAATACCAATGCCATATTATTATGTGTGATCTCTCTCTGTGCAATATGCTTCCACAGACTTGCCTCCATTCACTGCTTACTCCTCTACGTATTTTACGCGTTTTGTGATATACAAAATTGTTTGATTTTTCTTAGCAGTAACGTATTCATTATTATAACAACGATCACCTTCGTTATTGTAATAATCATTCATGAAAACAATTTAATTCAACATCAATAACTTTTCTTCATATCATCATCTTAGAAAACCTAATTTAAATCGCACATATTACTGTGAAGATATTACAATGAATGATTTATACAAAGACAGAAGAATCTAAATTCAAAGATAAAAGAAGAAAGAAAAAAGCAAAGAAGCCAAGTAAAGCTACACGTAGAATCTCGTAGACAAGCGTAGCGTTTAACAAGCACTCATCACAATTTAGTACCGATACGATGCCTTTTCTATACTCTATTGTAGTGCATTTTTTTATCCAGTGTAGAGACGTGAAGACCTAAGTATTTTTTACAGAAAGTAAAGTATTAATTTATGCGCATGATGTTCGACTGGCTGATGTAGACGGCATCGTAGCGCGCTGATCAAGTAAAACAATTTAGGCGCTCCTTCCCTAATCGAATTTCTCGCTACTCCCTCCTCCAGGACTGCATTCCGACACAATTATTGAACGCAAATTCACTTACCTTCATCAAGTTATTCCAGTTTCGTTCTTGCGTAAAATATGCTCACTTAACATTGTTTCTCACATGTTGGATAACTAACTTATACGAGTTCTTTACTTATAAAAATTCGATGTTGTAATCGTTTATTTACCTATACAATAGTTAATGGCAACAGCTCTAAAACCCAATCATGAAAGTCAAACTCTGCAACGGTGAAAGTCCAGTTTTCATATAAAATACACGAATTTCATGTTTTCCGATGCCCAATCCGGTAATAATAACGAAGTAACGGCTCGTGCCGAGGCTCCTAAGGGAGCCCTCGAGCTTAGTTACTCATAAACGAGGTTTAGGCTAAACGCCATCTGTTCTCGGCCACCTCAAGCCCGGTGAATCTGTAAATGCCTCTTCAAGGTAAACAGTGGCCATTCAGTCACAAAAAAAAAGTTTTCCGATGATTATTTAAATAGTAAGTAATGTAAATCTACAGTCTTTGCAATAAAAAAATATGTGAAATGGTAGTGTATAGTGTAGTTTTTAAACTTTGCGTAGGCTCAATTTTCAAGTTGGGGCTACTGGAATATTTCTATAGCTAACCCATCGCTATTGAAAAGCGATCGAGAAACTTCGATAAAAATAAAGAGATCGTGCGGTAAAAGAAAATAGACTTGTTGAAATCTAATTTCGCGTAACCATAACGAGCAGCCACTCGAAGGCGATGAGCCATCCGCGGCAGAGCCCGCTCATATCAATTCTTTAATTGGGACGCCTTCTTCGCTTCGACGCCTTCGGAAAAATTGATAATAAAATTCTCAAGACTTTTCATATTTTTATATTTGCTGATATAGCCTATGAATCTAGAAATCATCTATTTAAACATTTACTTACAAGTATATATTGTTTATTTAAGTGTTTGGCTGTAAATATATCTCATTCTAGATCTCAATTAGGGTCAGTAACAAAGATTTATTGTCCTCTGAACAATTTAATGTGGGCTGAGTAGCTAAGACATATTAATAATTTAAAACCAAGTTATGGGAATTAATTTAAACTTCCGACGGTTGTTCAACATCTGCTGCATTGGGATTCTCATCGTTTTTCGCTTGGCTCAGGGGATAGGGTCCTTCGTTGCAATGGCGGCCGTCACATGAGAAATTATCGAAATCACAATATTCACCCACAATAGTCTGAAAAAAATTAACAACACAGTAATCATACAACATATAAATATAGAACTTTACTTGGAATGTGAATTAAGACAAAAAATATAGTAAAATACTCAAACTTATTTGATTTACCTAACATCCTAAAATATCTATGTATTTAGACACTTTTAAATTTCATTAGAATTTGTCTGCGTACGATAAAAAATTGTTGCGCATCATACTAACAAGAAGAATATTTCTAATGGCGTCACTACTAAGTCCTTACTAACCTTAGTAGGATGTTCAGGATCCGGGTTGGAGTTACAGATGCAACGGCCACAGACGCAACTGCCCCGACCTGAGCACACCTCACCCTCTGTCACCTCAGGAGGCCGACAGTTGTCTGCTGTGCTGGTCCCGCAAGAGCATTCCGCATTCTCTTCTATACTGACTTGAATTAAAAAAAAATTACACTATGCATGATTAATTAAATTAGAATCAACGAACTTTACAAATCGTTTAATTGCCACTTAATTAAGTTTTAGTAACACCAAAAAACAGAGACATGTAAAAATATTTTTATACTTACAACCATTGTCGGTATAGTGGATCGTATCATTCTTGCAAAAGTCTGAAAATGTTGGAAGTTCCTTCGAAAAACATCTATTACTGGTTACACACCAGGTACAATGACTTAATTTTAAACATTCTACACAAGACTGCTTTATGTTGCAAACTAAACGCTGATTTAAAACAAACGGGTACCGAGTTTTCCCTGTTACTATTGATACAGCGATGAAAACAGTCCCCAAACTCAAATATACTAATTTTACTGTATTAAACATTGTTTTAATTCAACTATTCTAGTTTCCTTTTGCTAGATTGCTTGATAACTAAACATAGCCGTGACATGATGTACGTCTTATATTGAAAACGATAACCTTTGCGGATGATTGCGTAAATAAATATATCTGTTCCCGTTTAAGATTTAATATATATACATGTATATTTCGCTCGTTAGTTATTTAATTGACTACTAGTTAGAGTGACGAAATTAACTTCAATATTTAACTGTTAGCATACAGGAAAACATGATGATTATTATCAGGCTAGATCAGTGATTCCCATAAAAGGTCCAGGTGGGCACACTAGGTTCACGAATGACCAAACTTGGGTATATTCCTAAGACGATAAGTTAAGTAGAAGATGCACAGGAGATATAAATGGGGTTCGCCTAAACCAGTATAATTTTGAAAGGTATCTCCTGAAACAAGAAACATAATATCACATTTCGATTCATATCGTTTCATAACTTTTTACATCTAAAACAATATGATCCTGCAATACATGAGCGATGTTACAAGGGCTACATATGTACGCATGTGATTAATAAGAAATTTTACTACTTAATAAAAGAAGAATGAATCACTAATTTTGCCGTTTAAAGTTGCTCTCAATATCATCTCATTGCTACAAAATATGTAATCTTCGCAATCCTTCTCAACTGTGATAACAATATTTCGGCTGTATGGATGTTTCATTATGTTACAAAGTACTCTGTGGAAGTGGAAAACAATAAAGAATTTTATTACCTATTGCAGTATTAATGTTTCAAAGGGTTTTTTGTTACGCACCTGAAATCTAGTAGGGAACAAAAGCTGCTGTAGGTAGGAGGTATATAAAATAGTCTAGTACAAAAATAGTCCAACCGGATAGTTAATTATTGTTTTTATGTTTCTAACACTTTTTCTTATAAGTTGATTTTATTATTAAAATAATCAGTTTAAAAATAAACAGTAATGGCAACAAATCAAAATTCTATTTTGTTGTCAATGTCATGTGGATTATCAACTGTCAAAACAAAAAGGTTTTAATAAATGCCAATTGAGTATAAATTTAAATTTGTTAATTATTAAATATAAAGGCTAAATTTATAATTAAACATTGTGTACTAGTTACAAATGGAAAATTATTTCAAAGGTAAAAATGTGGAAGAAGAACTGGAAAGAAATAAAATACCTATAAAGGATCTTCCCATAGACTTTCTTTGGATGCAAGTATGTTTATTGAATGCTATCATATATTGTATATTTATAAACGCTACATGATTCTAATAAGGAATTTATTTGTCGTTCCTTAACAAATCGACAAGAGAAAAGCGACAATGTGTGTCATATCAAAAATTACAGGTTAAAGGAGGTAGTAAGATGAGCAATCTTCTCGCCCATGCATCTGGTATCCTAGAAGACAAAGCAGCGACCTCTGTCGTGTGGACAGGAACTGGAGTCGCTATACCTAAAGCCATATCATGTGCAGAAATTCTCAAAAGACAATTTTCCATTGAACACCAAGTAACCAAACTTACGTATAAAAAGTAAATTAATTAAAATGGCAGTCTTCAATGTTTCTCAAAGAATTGTTGTTTTATATCTTTTTTGTTTTTATTTTAGGGTCGAGGAGTATTGGGAGCCAAAGATTGATGGACTTGAAAAAATCATTGTAAAAAGAGAAATACCCGTGATTCATATATTTTTATCTACTAATGATATTCAAGACCAGAATCAAATAGGGTCCGTTTTATTTCTTTTATAGAAATGTTCTTAAAGCTCTTATTGACATTTCAATTATTATTCTGCATTTATTTCAGGTACCAATCTTTGAAAGGCAAAAAATTTTGGCAAAAAGGTCAAACTAGCACTATTAGTAAAAACCAGCAGTCATACAAAACTAAGAAGCCTTTCAAACATAAGAAAAATCCAGTTGAACCATGAAAATGTTAATTGATAAAACTGTTACTTTACTGTCGGTTTTATTTTATTTTGACCAGACACAAACTAGATACAAAAAATATCTATAGATTCGTAAAATATTTTTAGAGTTTACTGAACTCAACTTTTGAGCTTTGTCTTGAAACTTTAATTTTTTCTGGATTTCTGCACAGTAAGAATTGCACAGGACCACACCACAGGCAACAATACAAATAAAACACACATATATACAATGTAATTTATTTTATTACTATTAGAGATACATTTCAAATTATGAGTTTGAAATAAAAGTTTAAATATATAACTTTGTTTTCTTTATGAATATAAAGCCCTAAGTAAAGTTTTAAATAATTTTGTTGACTGCCAGTTTCTATTTATCTTAGCTATTATCGACATCTTAAATTTAATAAATTGATATTACTCATAAATGCAACTTTAAAATCATTGACGTCAATATTTTTAAAACAATTTTACATCTACATGTTTTCCATCTTCATTTCACAAATGTCCTCTAAATAAAGTAATTCAAACTCCTTTATATTAGAATTATATGAAAGAATCATTAAGAGTATCTCAAATGTATTTATGAACTAGAACTAATGTTAGTATTATAAATAAACAAGTCATAAGGTGATTATATATATTTTTGCTAATTAAATAAGTATTTCATAGTTTATCAAGAAAATACTTTATCGTAAAGTCAGATCTAAGCTTCTGATTCACCAACAGTTTGTGTAATTGGTGTTTCATCATCAAGTTTTGGAAGTATTAAAATTTCCTTTGAAATTATTGAATACTTTGTAACAAAGTATGTAAATCTCTTGCACAAATGTGTTTCCTTTTCAAATGCATCGAATATAGCACGGTGATGGAAGTATGCATGTGAAAAAATTCTATACACCCTCCTGCAGACCGAGCCTAATTTAGCCACTGAAGATTCCTTTATGCTCACCCTGAAATATAAGTTACAGCTTAATTTTGCAGTTTCTTACATTAAAACACATATTCTATAAAGTTAAGCAGTCCTTTTAGCATGGTACAATATAATCAGTCAGCTTTGGCTCTCTCACTAGACCTATAATTTGGTTTCAGAAAATAATGTGTACATTAATATATTATTACCTGCTTGGAAAGTATTTGTTACTGTTAAGTAGACATGCAGCACCATCCAGTGTGTGCCGTGTATAATCTATAGCAGGACACTCCTTAGGTGTCTTATGAGCAGCGCACAGGAAAATCCACTGTTCTGTTGCAGTCATTTGTGTACAAGTTTCTGGTTTACATTCACTCTGTAATCTAACTGCAAGTCCATTCAACTCCATACAAAATTGCCTAGAACAAGACATATATATGTTTTACAATTGTCTCTTGTTTTTTTTAAATAATAGTTTATGCAGATATAATTTTCGAAAACAATGTTTCTTGCAGAAAAATTACCTCAAGTGTTCATATTTCCATACGCCTTCGTCTTGGGCCTCCGGCATCTTTAGAATGGCTTCCAAATTAGCAGGATCACGTCGAATAGTTTGTTGAATAAATTGCTGTACAGCCAAGGTACTGTCCATTTCCTCAAATGGTTCATCGGGCCAGCGACAGAAATCCTGAAATTCCACTTTTCTTTAAGTATGAACAATTCAAGGAAATAGATACCTTATGTAAATTATTATACCTTTGCCCTGGAACCGGGCTGGTTTCGTCTAAGTATTTGTGTCCCATCAGCCATACTTGATATTTATTCACCTACAAGTAGATAAGTCGAGTTAAACTATAAATGTACCAAAAATAATAATGTGTATTTTAGTAGTTTCTTTTAATTCGAATGAATTCAATTCAATGATCAATAAAATTCATTAGAAACAGAAATATATAAAAATTGATAAAAACGGACACAACAAGCAATTGACAACTAAATAGACAGAAAAAAAATATCGGACCACAGATAAAACACCATATAAAACAGGCTAAAAATTATTAATTATCGCACCATGCAGTATATAGAACAGTTTGATGAAACTAAACTATTTAGAATAGAATTATTATCTATTTAACTATAGAGGAAGTAACCTGAAACTAAAAATAGGTTAAAACATAATGTTTTGAAAATTAATTTACATCTACATAAAATCCATTTTTTTTGTCTGTTAAGTGACATGTTTTTAATTTGCATGACAGTGACAGTTGTAAAAATACATGTTTTCATTTTCATGAAGTATTAAAAACTTGAAAACAAAGCTTGCATCGTTTGCAAATTGCATTTTAAAGATTAAGATAAAATCTTATTAATAAGGAACTCACAATCTTGCTTCTTTTCATTTGTACTTTACGTGTTAGAATCGCCAAATAGTTGTGTGCACCATGTTTTATCTAATAATTTTAATGTTGACTTTTAAATATTTGTATTGTTCTTCCATAATGGATATGACAACGAGTTCATTTGGTAGAAGTAACAATGGTTTTATCGCTGCATTTGGTGACTTCAACTCGGACGAATTGACTGATGCTTTTATAATAAATGGTTCGAGTGTTGAAGTGCTCTTGGCATACGAAAAGGAACCTTTTTTGCGACCATCATCTTTTGTTTGTTCTTTTAATGATCTCGTGATAACAAGCATAGTGCCAGGTGACTACGATGGAGATGCTTACATGGACATACTGTTCACGACACAAATTCAAAATGCTACATCTAATTCACATGAAGTACGCATTTTATGGGGAGGCGCACCCACCTTGAACTGTTCAGATGCGGTTTCGATCCGAGCTACAACAATAGGCCAGCCATTAGTGTTAGATTATAATCGTGACATGATTTTAGATTTATTTGGCATCAATTCTAAAAAAGAAAGGGTGTTTTGGGTATTTGATAAAACCAGATTGAATCCAATTGAAATTCCAATGAGCAAAGATTTGCTTAAAGAAGTAAAACTCCCGCACTCACATTCATTTTTGGACGTAAATGATGATAATGCTGCTGATCTGTTGGTCACAACTAAGTTGGATATAGAAGTTTGGTTTAATGATGAAGCTGGTGGATTTACATACAACTACAGTATTGATTTACTTGTTGGACATCCAGCAATATACGGCCAGGCTTTATTAACCGATGTTGCTTTGTCGGGACAATTCTATGTAGTAATACCAGTTTGCTATGATGTGGAATGTTTAAATAGCACTATACTAATTTATGACAACAAACAATGGCATGATCTTCAAGTGGACTTTAATGATGGTAAAGGAACTTTATGGCGATTTACCCCTCCAAGAGATGAAATATACTTGGATACTATAACAATGAGAAGTGGTGACTATAATATGGATGGGTATCCAGACATTCTGATGACCCTAAGTCCAGTAAATAGCAATGAAACTGCAGTTTTTCTATTGCATAATGTACCTTGCACCTCAGTGGGTTGTAAATTTTCAAGAACTTTTCAAGTGCAGTGGGAGAAATTTGATACATTTGGTAGAAATGTTGTGATGGCTACATTTTACGATTTTTACATGGATGGTGTTCTTGATGTTATTTATATTAAAAAGAATACCACTTTGCAGTCATATACTATGAATGCATTTAAAAATGAATTGGAATATGATACAAACTTTATAAAGGTTATTGTTGTGACTGGGCTCTCCAATAAAAACATACCTGTTATTAATGGAACCTTGTACAATAGGAAAGTAACTTTTGGTAAGTGTGTTTAATACATTGTTTCATAGTTATTGGTATAGGGAAACAGCAAAATTTTCTTGTTTTCTCCAATCTTAAAAATGACAGAATCAATGAAATTTTAGATCCTTTCTCCAAATTAACAAGTGAATGAATTACCAACTATTAACATGAATTTTTTTTTTCAGGCACTAATTTACCTGGACCTAAAATTGGATACAATACTTGGTCTCAAGAAAGTACCTACAGGACAGGAGTGTGCGCCCAACTTTCACAATCTGCTTATTTTGCATTGCAACTGCCTTATTCAATATTCGGACTGGATAGGACACCTAATTTTGTAGACACACTAAATGTTGGTCTATCAGGATACTCCAAAAGCTGGACTCAAATAATCCCCAATTCACAAATAGTTGTTATCCCAGCTCCACCAAATGACCCATCACAATGGCATGCTCAATTATTTGTTACACCAAGCAAAGTTATTTTGAAAAGTGTTTTTGTATTAACTGCCATTATTGTTATAATAACCGCTTGTGTGTTATATTTACATTGGAAAGAAAGGAATGATAGACAAGATATTATAGAAATTGATGAAAAGACATATGTAAAGATTTAGATCTCTTTTTAAATGTGATATAATTAATATATTATTTTAACAGTGTTAAGCCCACAATAACATATTTTGCCTAAATGGGCTAGCTGACTGTTACCACCGTTATTTTTTTAAAAAAAAAACAATGATAGAGTTTACAAAGTGTTTTTCGATATTTAAGACTCAAAGGTGGAAGTGCCTTTACTAGACCATACTATATAGTTAGGAGTTATATTTTAAATTAATCATTCTTTACTTTATTAAAAAGTCTGTGATCACTTTATATTAAATGTTATTTTCACAAACAATGAGTACTCTCAAACATATTTCCTTTGTCAAATGGGGATGTTTCCTAATGTTACAAATCCAAATAAAGTTATGTTTAATATTTATACATTATATATTTACATAATAAAAGCAATTCCAAAAATTAGGAAACATCCCCATTGCATTTAAAGTAAAAAACATTGTAGTGTCCCTCACACTATAAGATTTTTAACCACAAACTTCATGGAGGTGGGATCGATGGAGACTGATGCGGTCACCTATGCGGTAACAGTGTGTCGAACATTTCTTTCAATCTTCAGCTCTATACGAAGTAGTTTAACTTTAATGTGTCATTAATTAATTTGCGTGTAAATATGGTTTTCCAAAGGGGGGGGAAGGTCGATAAGATCGTGTTGTGCCCCGGGCGCGAGATAAGCTGCTATGTACTTCTTGTGAAGGACTGTAAATTCTAATTTTATGTAAATAAAGCTTAGTTTCCAATAATTATAAAATATGTTTTTAAATGTTGTTTTTCCCCTTTAACTCGAACTCGTCCCGTCACATAGTTTTAGTTAAATTGTTATTGTGTCCACATAATTGCGGTAGAAAGTTTAGCTTAATTTTCTCCGCTTGTTAAAAGTCAGAATCTTATAGACGTTGTAAATTGTTCTCATTCCTAGATCAAACAGACTTTAATAATAATAACATACAAATTAATATTGGTGTAAATTATAATAAAAACGAAGACAAGTTTATGACTTTTATGATTCATTCCAAGTGTGGTAATAATTATAAATGTTTTTCAAAAATTAAAATTTAGTTTATATAAGTATTTGAGTTTTTAAAAATTGTGAATTAAGTGTACAATTACAAAACTTTGTGTCATAGGCATTGGGTTCTGTTGTAAGTATCTAAAATCTTAAACAACTTTAAACTTAAAACAATATAATCTTACTAGGTTTCGCCCGCGACTGCGTCCGCGTAGAGTTAAAAAAAAAGCAAGTAGCCTATGTGTTCTTCCAGACTATCCCCTACATCTATGTCAAATTTCATCGAGACCTATTCATTAGTTTAGGCTACAAACTCATTTATTCATCCATCTAAACTTTAGCATTTTTAATATAAGTAAGATTACTTATGTCCATGCCGAACCAAAATCGTGGTATCCTTTTTAAACCATGTATCGATTTAAAATAATTTAATTGTTAACACAACCGCGGACAAAATCACATTTAATTTAATTTGTTACTATATCTTTACTTTACGAAATTTTAAAGCTAAAAGATGCTTTTTTGAACCAAAATGCTTACGATGCTCTTCTATCTCCAAGTAACATAAGTTATGACACATTTACATTAGTTATAACACACAACATGAATGGTTTGTTAGTTTTATAATTGAATGCCATAGTATTATTTGTGTGTTTGTAGCTGTTAGTACCGAGGTGAAGGCGACGGCATGTTGTGTGTTGCGCGTATTCTGGTACTCGCGGCGCTGGGCCTACTTGCCAGGCCTTCTGCTGCCGGTAAGAAGTACAATATCACCATCGGCTACCTGCCTTGCATCATGGGCTGGCACAGGGACAGGCAGGGCCTCGCCATCTCTGGTGCACTCTCCATGGCCCTGGAGGAGGTCTGCATCATAATTTCGCATGGTTTCAGATAAAGGAACGCATTTTTTAATAAATAAGAAAGATGATTTACGGACGTGAGTGTATATTGTATTAAAAGATTTTACCACTGGTTTTAGATTAACAACAGTTCTGTGATCCTGCCCGACGTGCAGCTGTTGCTGAAGTGGAATGACACGCGCTGCGACACGGCGACAGCGACGCGGCTGCTCACAGACATGAGCTGCTCCGGCGTCGTCGCCTTCTTTGGACCCGAAGGTCGCTGTCATACAGAGGCTATCATTGCACAGTCGCGCAATCTACCTATGATCTCTTTTGTGAGTAGGAAAGACCTATCCAGGTTTTATGCCATGACCATTTTATTGTAACAGTAAAATTTATTTTTTCAGAAATGTTCCGATTACCAAACTTCAACATTGCCAAATTTTGCTAGACTGGACCCGCCTGACACTCAGGTATATAATATCTATGTACTTGATTAAAAGCTTCTCACATATGACACAAACTTACATGACGCAACGTTTCAGGTTACGAATACTGTGTTATCGTTATTGAGGTACTACAGATGGAATAAGTTTTCGATACTGTATGAAGAGTCATGGGTAACGGTCGCGATGACGCTGGAGAACCACGCGAAGCAGAACAACATGACGGTGAACCACCAGCGGCCCGTCATCGACAGCTTCAAGTGCTGCGAGGACAAGATGGCCTGCTGCGCTCCCGGCTTCTGGTACCAGTTCATACAGGAGACCAAAAATAAGACAAGAAGTCAGTTCACATTAATTTTTATTTACCTCTAGCTAGTTAGTTCTTTCGAGATGTATGTGAGTATATGATAACGATATATTTTTATTCTTTCCAACACGTTAACAGGCCACTTCTTTATACATTTTTTTTAGTTTTATTTGCTCAAATTTATGATGTTTTTCCAGTTTACGTGTTTTTGGGCTCAACATCTGGTCTCATAGAAATGATGACAGCCATGGAGTCGAAACAATTGTTCGTTAAGGGAGAGTACATGGTTATATTCGTTGACATGATGCCATGATACTCTTCGAAGGATGCATTGAAGTATGTAATAAGTAAGTGTATGACTTCTAATAAATTATCAATAACGTGTTTTGCGTAGATTTAGTTATACATTAAATGATAAATAATGTTCTACCTTCCATAGGTACCGAAGATCGTGCCTCCAAACTGGTGTGTCCGAGCACTGCGGAGTTCAGGAAGCGCGCGCAGTCGCTGCTGGTGGTGGTGTCGTCAGAGCCGACGGGCGGGTACGCGAACTTCACCTCTAAAGTGCAGCAGTACAACAACATGAAACCATTCGAATTTCCATCGCCGACAGTTTTTGGAGGTAGATTCACCAAGGTAATATTTTACGCAGATGTATTAGAAAAAAATGTTACGAATTCGATTAGAATAACAATAGAAAAGTTATGTTATGTCTCCCTTTCGTAACAAGACTTTATGTGGCGACTGACAGCGGTTAAAAAATTCTGAAACTGGTAATAACTAATACGGAAATTAAAATTCTGATATCAAATTGTTTTATATTTTAGTTGGAAATATAGCCGTAGTTTAAAATTAAACGTGGATATGTAATATTTAAAAATATTTTCCTAAAATGTTTCAATATTAATTTTCAGTTTGTACCAAGATATGCGGCATATTTGTACGATTCAGTGAAGTTGT